TCATGATGATGAGGGTGATGATGATAATCATGATCATGATCATGGTCAGTATGACGAGTGTGCTGGTGATGATAGTGACGATGGCAATAATGATGATGGAAATGATGATGATGATGCTGATGATGATGATGATGATGATGATGAGGGTGATGGTGATGCTGATGATGCGGATTATACGATGTACGCGATGATGGTGCTGTTTCTGCCGATGACAATTACGATGATGTCGATGATGATTATGATGACGATGATGGTGAATATGATGACGATCACGATGACCATGAAAATGACGATGACGATGATGATGATGATGATGATGATGACGATGCTGATGCTGATGATGATGAACGACAATGGCAATGGCGATGCTGATGATTACGACGATGACGGTGATGATGATGATGATGATGATGATGATGATGATGACGACGACGATGATGACGATATTGTGTTTATGACGTGTCTTAAAAGCAAGTTTCCTGGCTTTCTTGCCCTCTCGGTAAGTAATCACGGACTCCTCGTCTGGCGGGGAGCGCTGAGCGGCAACAGGAGCCTGCCTGCGTCTGGGAAACACCCTGAGATCTCGGCGTTGCATTGTTTTCACGCGGGGAGTTTTCGCACGGCCTCGGGCCCCGGGACAATCACGGCATCACATATCGAAATCCAGCTCCGAATTCGGCGCAGAGAGAGAAGGTCGAGGCTTCTGGTCGTGTTTTTTTTGCGCGATGTCGCATTTTTGTTCGCAGCGTGGCGCCTCAGGGGGCAGGGCGGAAGGGTGGGCCACGCGAAAGCGACCCGAGGAGGCGCCACGTGAGCTCCTCGGCCCCGAAGCGCGGGCTCTCCCGCTTGCTCGCGTCTCAGAGTGGCTAGGCATAGCGGGGGGGGCAGCAGGTGCAGGCGGCAGGAGACCACGACGCGATGCTGGGCACCGAAAGCGCCGACTCTTCCACTGCTGCGGCTGCTGCTGCTGCTGCTGCTGTGGACTGCTCCGTCCCCCACTGTGCCGTTCCGTGCCGCAGCCCCGCGCCACGCTCTGCTGCATCTCGCTCGGGCTCGTAGGCGGCGTGCTGTCTGTGGCCCGTCGCCTCTTGCACAGTGGCCAGTGGAAGAGAACATCTGCGGCATTCGGCCTCGGAGCTTCCCACGATCACCCAAAGTCTAAGGGTGTTTCAATTCTGGCTTCTCGCCTTTTCGCCGATAGGCTGCTGAGGCTCCAGTATCGCCCAAGAGAGCCCCAAGAGGCACCCCCAAAAGGCCCCAACAGCAACCAGGAACGGTTCCAGAATGTCACAAGAGGGCTCCAAGAGACGATATGCCGGGCTCCTACGGGAAGAGGGCACGTAGTACCGCCCCAGTGCCTTATCGATGCACTCCAAGATTGCAGCACGAGGGCCCCCAGGGCCTCTAAGAGGGGCCCAGGGGAACCCCAATGGCATACACAACTGCCCCAACGGCCCCCGGCAAATGTACAACAACATGTGCAATAAACTCCCACATCGAAAGATCCGCGACGGGAAGAGGAGGAGGAGGAGGAAGAGGAGGAGGAGGAGGAGGAGGAGAAAAAGGAGGCCCTTCTGGTTGTCTCCAGGGTCTGCCCGGGCCAACCCGAAGCTCGCATCGAGAGCCTCCCCCCCCCCCCTCGTTGCTCCCCTGCATGCTCCCGCGCCGCCCTGGTCAAGGGAGCTCGCACGAACGTAGCTTCTCGATGGGTTCGTGGGGATACTTTTTTGATCGCGACAGCGGCGAGCAGGTCGGGCGGCGTCGAGGGGCGGTGCAGACTAGCAACGGCCTAAATTGGCGCAAGGGAAGAGGAAGGGCGAAAAGAGGAAAAAACAAACGAGAGGGAGGCAAACTGGAGGCGGGGCGGGCCTCGCTGCCGCTCACAGGAGGGCGAGCACCAGGAAGTCCTTCCGGGCAGCTCGTGGGGACACTTTTTGGTCAGCGGCCGCGGGCGAGCGCGCCGGCGGCGAGTCCAGTCAAAGCGGGGCACGCAACGACAAATTCACCTAAAGCATCGGAGGGCGGCCTCACCTAAAACGGCTAAGCGAGGCCTCGCGCAGCACCTCAGCGGCCGCTCGTGGGGATTTTTTTTTGATTCGCGGCCCGCAAGGAAAGGTCCAGAGGGCGGTGTGAACAAGGCTGGGGCACAGCGCACGGGAAGGCAGATAATTGACGGCGCAGCACAAGTGCCGGCCGAGAAGCAGCTGAGCATGTGCCAGCAGCAGAAAATTAACAACGCTGAACATGTGCCAGCGAAGGATGCAACTCGTGGGGATACGCGAAACGTCCACACTTCGAACGTGCACGCGTTGCACCTGGCCCGCCGTTGGCGCAGACACGGCTGGGCGCATGGCAGGAATACTTCAGCCATGAGGAACCTCCGCAAGAAACCAGGACCCTCCACCCACATTCTGCCGGCGACTGATATGAAAGAATTCTACTTCCCTATAGTCGTTCCGAGCCCTGGCCTATTACAAATATTGAGGGACATGGGGCACCTCGTCAAAGCACCGACGGCTTCTCAAGGCGCGCCCATCTGCAGCCTGTGCCTGTGCGGGGCGCATGGGCTGGGAGACCCGCGCCATGATCACAGGGGATGTCCAGGAAAGTACAGCGTCAGAGCACATGCGCTCGAACTGGGCCGCCCCAAATGTGGGCTGGCCCATCCGAGAACGTCCACTCCGCGAGACGACGGGCTGACTCAGGCGAAAGCGCGGACGCACAGAGCCGACCGGCGAACTCCAGGCCGCCCTGGGCAGAACTGAATCGTAGACAACCGCGGTGGTGCGTCTCCATCGTGGTGCATCGAAGGGCCTCGCCCCCTCCGCACTGTCCATGCCCTACTTCCTTCTCCTCCTCCTCTTCCTTCTGCTTTCCAACATCGTCCGTGCTCCCTCCTCCCTCTTTGTTACACGATCCTTCACTCCCGGTCCTTCATCCCTCCTGGCCCCCTCTCTGCCTGTCCAGTCCCCCTTCCTCTTCCTTGCATCCCTCTTCCTCCGCTTCCTTCTCACATATCCACCCTACCCTTCCCCTCAATCTTCACACCTTCCTCCGTCCGACGTCTTCGGGTACATACTTGGAAGGGTACACCAGGCAATCCACCCCAGTCCCTGGCCTGCCGCATCCCGACGACGATGACAACTTCGCATGCCGCACTGGCCTCTCTTGAAGGGACAACGGCTCTTTCCTCCTCGAGCATCTGGCTGAGTTTTACAGCTGGTAAGTGGCACATCTCTTGATCACACTTTCTCCATCTGCTCAGGGGAACATCGAATAGTCATTGGCGTGAGTAGTGGGCTGTATCGGCTGGGGCACAGGGTCGCGTTTGGATCTGCCAGCCTACTCTACCATGCCCGCGTGTAACGAGTAAGAGCCTCGTGCTTGTAAGCTGCCCATTCGAACAGAACTCGGAGACAAATCGTGTGCCACGGCCTGCCGTGACCCAGGGGTGCCCGCTCACTTGCCTCATGTTACACTTCTCCTCTTGTCTTCGTGAATGCTGAGCGCGCAAGCTAGATCGAATTGCCTCTTGCCATATTGTTGCGCAAAACAGCTCTCTCAGCTGGAGGCTCGGTGGTCCCTTCTCAATTCGCCACGCTTTATCGCAAGGACTAGCGGCTGACCTAGTCGCACGGGCACTTCCTCTTGTATTCTCCACGCACATATCTGGACCACAAGTCGACAGACAACATCATCGCAAGGCTCTCACATATTCCCACAAGAGGCCTCACGGCCTTCTCGGGCCGTACGAACTACAGTGATATTGATACGCTTGCATGTGGGATCGATCGAGCGAGACCAATCGAGCGAGATCGATAGTGAGATCGATAGTGAGATCGATAGTGAGACCGATCGAGTGAGACGCTGGTTCCTCCCCCCCCCCCCGAACCTCCTTATCACCCGAAGGGTGGTCGTATAGGTATTGATACGCTTGCATGTGGGCCCGCGTCACCACCGACCTCCTCTCTCCCAGCGGTTGCGTGCCCTGCCCCTGCAGCAGTGGACCCCAGGCTGGCAATGCTGGATTCTGCTCCGATCCCCCACTCCTCTCCTGCAGCCTTCAATGTGAGGAGACCGCATTGGCGCTGAGCCCTTGGCGCGGGAAACTGCCCTCGGGCTCTGCCGACTCGGGCGTCCACCCACACGGACAACAAGCTCGCCTCTGATGCTTGGCCTGGTCTGCCCTTCAGGCCAACGTACACGTTTCCACGTTTCCCCTGTCCCTGACATGGCATGGCCCTTCTAGAAAGAAAAAACGCCATAAACATAAACTTTTGGCGCTCCGCGCGGATTTGTTGGATCTGCGCTGGGCCCCCCTCTCTGGCGCCAGGGGCGGCGCCGGAGGCGCCGCCAGGGAGGCCCCAGCGCGGAGCCGGGAAATCCGCGCGGAGCGCCAAACATTAATGTGTGTGGCCTTTTTCTTTTTTCGACTTACGCGATTCACTGACGCGCTGGGCACGACTACTTAGGACGGCCCAGCACCATGATCTTGTCTTCCGTTTTTACTAATGCTCGATTTGTTGGTGCCCGCGCTCGCCTCGAAGACCACCTTGCTGCCCCGCGACCAGGCAGGCCACGCGAGAGCAGCGGCAGCCCCACCGACGGGACTCCCTCCCCTGGGGGGTGTCCAAGAGGTACCTGGGCCTGCGGTGGAGGGGAAGGAGGAGGAGGAGGAGGAAGAGGAGGAGGAGGAGGAAGAGGAGGAGGAGGAGCCGGAGGAGGAGTCGGAGGAGGAGGAGGAGGGGAGGAGGAGGAGGAGGTGGAGGAGGAGGAGGGGGAGCTTGTCCTCTCTCCTTCCCCGCCCCGCCCCTTCCGTCTGCCTCCCTGCCCTCCTCCTCTCCCCCTCTTCGCTCCTCGCTCCCTGCTCCCTCGCTCCGTCCTCGGTCCACCGTCCTGAGTGATCAGGCCTGCTCCCTCCGGCGTCCTCCCTCCACTCTCCGCTTCCTCTCCGTCCTCGCCCCGGCCCTCCGAGCGAGACTGGCGCAGCACCGCCCCTTTTTCTCCGAAAGCGCTCGCCGGCGCTGCCGCCAAAGGCCGAAAATCGCAGACCCGCCTGGCCTGTGCGCTTCCTACCGCGACGAACGACGTACGCGGTGGCAGTGGAGCACAAGAGAGAGAGAGAGAGGCAAGAGAGGGGCAGAAACTGCACAACCTGGATGTGTCTGGCAAAGTCCTGGGCGCGTTTCTGAAACCCCGTGATTTACCACCATCCGTCATCCTTCTTGTTGTGTGTTGAGGACGAATGGGTAAGGAGTGAGGAGCGGACAGGATATTGATGAGGATGTAGTAAAGAAAACAACGCCATAAACAAAACCTTTGGCGCCCCGCGCGGATTTCTTGGATCTGCGCTGGACTCCTCTCCCTGGCGCGCGGAGCGCGCCAGGGGCGGCGCTGGTGGCGCCGCCAGGATCTGCGCGGAGCGCCGAAAGCTTAAGTTCATGGCGTTTGTCCTTCGCCGAGGATCAGCAGGAGAAGCGCAAATACTCGTCCCCATCGGCAGCCGCAGCCGGAGCACTGGGAGCCGGGCAGCGACAGCAGCAGCAGCAGCAGCAGCAGCAGCAGCAGCAACCGCCAAGGCAACGGGGCGCAGAGGGGAGACGAGACGTGGCGGGGCGCACTCTGCGGGCGCCTCCTCGCAGCCGCGGGCGCTCGGTCCGAGCGAGAGAGCCCGCTGGAAACACAGTGTGCGCTGCGCCGGCGCGCAGGCGCCGTGGAGGAGCAGGACGGGACGAGGGACGGGAGGGCACCTGCTGCGGGCAATAGTTATATCCATATCCAGTGCGCATCGGCGTTGCGGCACCTATTCCCAAAAAGTCCACGACGCTCTGGATATGGATATGAGTATTGCCCGCACCTGCCCGTCGCGCCTGCTGAAGCAGAAGCGGGTGCGCTCGGGAAGGGGACGGGAGAGGAGGAGGACCACTGTCACCCCAAGACCCATCACCAACGTTGGAATACACCCTCCCTCCGAACTCCTTCTTCTTAGACCCGTACAAAGATTTATGCCCGCTGAGGGAAGTGCCCAACTGGGGGGCAACCGCTTGAAAATCCTGAGGCGTGACAACACACCATCCCCAACATTTTTCAATGCCACGAATCAACCTTCGTGTTGCGTCTCGACGATCCTGAACCGTGCCAGATGGCCATTCCTGGGGCTTCAGCACAGCGAATCAACGTAACTGTCCTGGGTCGCTCCGAAACACCATTTCTGGTACGTTCGCAATGAGAGCCCGTGGGACTCCTCGCAATGATTTGAAACGAATGTGCGCGGCGCTAACGCGAGAACCACATGATGAAAACGGCCCGATCTCAATCCATGAGACTGTTGCAAATGTTTGAACCACTGTGCGCGGCGCTAACGCAATAACCCCATTTTGAAAACTGCCCACCATCAATCCGTGAAGCTCTTGCGATTATTTGCCAATCACCCGCACTCCATTCAGGAAGCTCAGGCAGTTGTTGTACGACGAATGTACGCTGCACCACAGCGAAAAAAACACGTTGAGCACCATCCGCCCTCAGTCCGTGAAACTCTTGCAAGTTCTAGAAAGCTTCAGGATCATACATGGCAGAGAAACCTCAAACGCCCCGCCCCGCCCGCCCCTCCGACTGGCCTAGGGGTGCAACAGGGAGAAGTTATTCACAAGGAAAATTAATGGACGAGGGGGAGGAAGGGGGAGAAGGGGGAGGAGGGGGAGAAGGGGGAGAAGGGGAGAGGGGGGAGGGGGAGAAGATTGGAGGAGGGGAGGGGAGGGGGGCAAGGGAGAGGTGTGGGGGGGGAAAGGTGGAAAGGCAGAGGAGGAGAGGCAGAGGCAAGGGAAAGGGGAAAGGGCAGCGCGAAGGGAAAGGCGGGAAGGCAGAGGGAGGAGGAGAAGGCAGAGGAGGGGGATGTGGAGGAGGAGGAGGAGGATGAGGAGGCAGAGGAAGAAGAGGCAGAGTATGGGGGGAGAAGGGGAGAAGGGGAAATCTGGAAGGGGACTGGGGGGGGAGGGCGAACGGCCCGTGGCCTGCTCGGATGCCCCTCCTCATGCACCTGCACATCCCCAGCCTTCCTCTCTCCCCTCTGCTCCTCCTCCTCGTATCCCCCTTCGCCTCCTCCTCCGCCTCCCCCTTGCGCCTCCTTCTCCGCCTCCCCCTTCGCCTCCCTGCTCCTCCTCCTCGCCTCCCCCTTTCGCCTCCATCTCCGCCTCCCCCGTCGCCTCCATGCTCCTCTTGCTCCTCGGCTCCCCCTTTCGCCTCCTCCTCCGCCTCCTCCTCCGCATTCTCACCGTTAGATGTGGCGGCTCATGGCTCCTGGCAAGGCTCGACCTTCACCGTGCTGTCCGTGTTCATGTTGTTGTAATTCGTTTCTCGTTTTGTCGCTGTCCCGCCTTTTATGCAAAACGGCATCGAAACGAAAACGGTCATCGAAATCGCGAAAACACGGTTTAGGTCCAACCATGGCTCCTGACAAACTGGTGGTCGCGGGATCATTCACTTCCGACTTCGGTAGCCCACTCCAGAGGAATAAACACAGGTGACTGGCAAACGTGGGCATGTGAGGGGCAGGGGCATTTCCAAGCATGGGCATTGTTCGGAGACCCCTTCATGACAGAAATATTCATGAATAAGCACGGGCTCAGCATGCCGTCTTGAGGTCTCTCTACATGACACGTGCGTCAGACTGCCAACGCCGATGGAATCACAGCTGACAGCTTGAGAACGAGGATCGACTCAGCGGCGAAGGGAACGAAGAACACGAGAAGCGACGTGATGCGAGCAACAACAACAACACCAACAACAACAACACCACCAACAACAACACCAACAACAACACCACCACAAACAAGCACAACAACAACAACAACAACAACAACAACAACAACAACAACACCAACACCAACAACAACAACAACAACAACAACAACAACAACAACAACAACAACAACACCAACAACAACAGCAACACCAGCACCAACAACAACAGCAACAACAACGGCAACGGCAACAACACCACCACCAACAACACAAACAACCGCAACAGCACAAACAACAACGGCAACAGCAACCACAACGAAACCAACAACAACAACACCCACAACAACATCAACACCAACCCGAACAATAACACAACCAACACTAACACCACCAACAGCAGCAACAGCAGCAACACACTCAGCGGCGAAGGGAACGAAGAACACGAGAAGCGAAGTGATGCGAACAATCACAACAACATCAACGACAACAACAACAGCAACAACAACAACAACAGCAACAACAACAGCAACATCAACAACAACAGCAACAGCAACAGCAACAACAGCAACATCAACAACACCAACAACAACAACCACAACAAAACCAACAACAACAACAACCCCAACAGTAGCAAGACCAACAATAACACCACCAACAACAGCAACAGCAGCAACAACACCGCCAACAACAATAACACCAACAACAACTCTACCACCAACAATAACAACAACAACAACAACAACAACAACAACAACAGCGGAAACAACAGCAATAACAGCAACACTAGCAGCAACAATAACAACAGCGGCGAGCGTGAGAGAGCGTGCCACGACGCCTGGACGCTGGCGAGCGAGAGTCCGAGCAGCAGCGACATGCGAGCATGCGGGTGGACGGACGAGCGCAGCAAGGAACACTGCAGCGCGAGCAAACACGACTGCGAGCGTGAATGGGGCGGGCCTGCTGGGGGTAGTGGAGGAGGAGGAGAAGGAGGAGGAGGAGGAGGAGGAGGAGAAAAAGGAGAAGGAGGGGGAAGAGAGGGAGGAGGAGGAGGAGGAGGAGGTGGAGGAGGAGGAGGATGAGGCGGAGGAGGCCTGGGGGAGGCCGCGGTGGGCGCGCAGAGCCGTGCGCCCTCAGGGCGTGGCCACGGCGGCCTCCCGGGACACCGCGGCCTCTCGCAGCGCCTTCCGGTTGTTGTCCACGCTCCAGCACTTCCCGACCTTCCTGGTCGTCGACGTGCGCTCCCGCAGGGACTCCAGGCTGAGGGCAGTGCCGTCCGGCGTCAGCTCCATCACAGCCTTGAGCAACCGCTCGTCGTCCTCGCGCTGGAGCCTCTCCCTCAGGCTCGGGGCGTCCTTGCCGCTCTTGACCTTGGTGGGGCACTTCGTGAAGCACGGGCTCATGATTGCCTCATCCTCCATGAGCGGGGGAGCCACCTTGCCGAAGCGCCAGCGGCACGAAAAGTCGTCGTAGTTGGGCTGGATGTGCAAATTCATGCCGAAATCGTCCCGCAGCCACTCCTGCGATGGCACCTTGCACGTGTTGACACAGACCGAGGCGCACTGGGCCTGCTCCAAGAACCGACAGCGCTCCGCCTTCACGCTCTGCGGAACCCGCACAGAGACGGGCAAGAAAAACAGGACCTTCCTCCACTCCTCTGGGACGGGCACGTCGATGAAGTCTTCGCCCTCCATGGGCCCCATGAGCCAGGGAAACAGAAGGTAGAACACCAAGAAGAACGCGGCGTTCTGGGACCACTGAGGGACGTTGGGCTGCACGAACTTCTTCCAGAGTGGCGGCACCCAGCCGATGAATATGGATGGCAATATGCCCTCGAAGACGCGCCTGGCGCGCGCGCACACGTGCACACAACCAAAAACGCAAACACAATCACAAGCACATGCTTTCACGCAGCCGAAAATTCACACACTCGCTCGCTCGCTCGCTCGCTCGCTCCCTCTCTCTCCCTCTCTTTCTCTCGTTCTGTTTTTTGCCCTCTCTCTCGCTGTTCCCCCCTACCCGTATGTATGCCTGTACAAGCTTGCTACATGCAAGCGCTAGCGCGCAAACACTGGAAAACACACGCGAACGCACACTTAAGCGCACTTGAGCCGGCACGCAAACGCGCACGCGTTCAAGCGGCCAACCGCGCACGCGCGCGCAGACTCGCCCGAGCGCCCGAGCGCCCACCCCCACGCGCCCCGCGCCCCGCGCACGAGCACTCGCACAAGGACGGAGACACGCGAGGCGACGAACGTTGTCGTCGTCGTCGTCCTCGTCGTTTTCCTCGTTTTCGTTGTCGTCGTTTTCGTCGTTGTCGTTGTCGTCGTCGTCGTCGTCGTCGTCGTCGTCGTCGTCGTCGTCGTCGATGCTTCCCCTGGCCCCCCTGCCAAAGAGGTTGTCGTCTCCTGGCACGCGTCTGCAACTCCAGCACGGTGCCCTCCGCATCGTTCACCTCGCGCGGCCCCTCCCTTGTGACGCCGCGCCCCGTCGATGCCCCCGCTGCGCGTCCAATCTGCTCGCGCTGAGCCGGTGTTGTTGGAAGGCAAGAAGGGAATGCCTGGGGATCGAGCTACGGTACAGTCAACCCGTATATTAAGGACGCACGATAAGGATGCAGGGGCCTTGGAAGGCGATGCCGACACTCTGCGAGCGGGGCGCGGCCAGCGAAAGCGACCAAGGGTGGGCCAAACAGGAAGGATGCACGCGCCAACTTGGAAAATTGCCCGATCTTGCTGTGCGAGTGGACCGCAGAGGGCAGAGGAGGGGATCTGGGCGACGAGGCGGAAAGCAGGGCACGGGGGCAGGGAGGAAGGAGGCGAGAGAGCAGGAGGGGGGGCAGAGCGGGGAGGAGGGAACGGCAAGGGATTGTTTTAGTTCTCTCGAAGGTTCCTCCTGTAGGTGGACATGCCCGACGCAAGGCTACTCTAGGTCGGGCACGTCCCCCTGCAGGTGGATTCTGGACGAAAAATAAAAAGTAGTCCAGAAAAAGTCCAACATATGTGTCTATATAATCTGTTTTGGCCTGGGGCGGGGGCGATGAGAGGCACGCTCCTGCAGGCCCAAAATGCCAGAGACGCTGCTGCGGGCCCGCCAGGCCGCATATGCCCGGCCACGAGCCGCTGCAGGAGCCGCGCCGACCTCTGCCCCCACGCCACCACGGATCTCAACGCCTCCTCGTCCTCCTCCTCCCCCTCCTCCTCCTCCTCCTCCTCCTCCCTCTCCCCCTCCCCCTCCCTCCCTCCTCTCCTCCTCCTCCTCCTCCTCCTCCTCCTCCTCCTCCTCCTCCTCCTCCTCCTCCTCCTCCTCCTCCTCCTCCTCCTCCTCCTCCTCCTCCTCCTCCTCCTCCTCCCTCAAGCCTCGCTGGCCGCTGCTCCAGCGCGCGCGTGGCGCACACCCCGCCACGGGCCCAGCCGCCCGGCGCTGGGCAGAGGCTCTCGTGCTGCGTCTCGGCGGCGGCCGGGCAAGAGGCCAGCTGCGTCGGCGGAGGGCTGACGGAACGGAGGCACCGCTTCAGCGAGTTGCGCCACCATGCGAGGAGGAGGTCGGGCACGGCCCCCTACAGAAGGACCCTGCACGAAACATACAGAAGACAGTCGAACAAGACCCCGAAATGGCAACAAGAGTGCTCAAAGGTCGTCCCCAGACTCTTGTTTGACTGCGTTTACTTTTGCCTCCCGTAGAGGGGCAGCGAGTTGCGCCACCATGCGAGGATGAGGTCGGGCATGGCCCCCTACAGAAGGACCTTGCACGCAGAATAAAAAAAGAGAGTCGAACAAGACCCCCAAAAATGGCAACCAGAGTGCTCAAAGGTCGTCCCCAGACTATTTGTTGACTGCGTTTGCTTCTGCCTCCTGTAAAAGGAAAGAACAGGCCCGACGCAATGCCGAAGGAAAAATGCACACGTCCGAGCGATGCCAAGGGACTGCAGGAGGCGCGACGATCAAGAACGGGGCGCACGCGAGGTGGCACAGCGACCTTGCGCGGCAGCTCACGCGGGCCGCCAGCGCGGCACACTACACCAGAGGCCAGTCCACAAGAGACCTTCCAGAAGAAACCCGACCCCTGGACCCCAGGACGTCCATTGACTTCTTGGTGCGGGAACGTCACGTACTCCATAGCAAAACCATCGACACCCAGGAAACCCAGGGCACCCTGGAGGCAAGCAGGGTGTTCCTTGGCATGGGCCTCCACTGTGCATCCGCGACGAGAGAGCTTACGCTTAAGTCGGGCCTGGCCCCCTACAGGGGGGATTTTCGACGAAAAATACAAAATATCCCAAAGATGATTCAAAAATAGTCCCAGAATAATATGGGGAATACTTGATGAATATTTGCCTGCCTTGTTTGGAGCATTTTTGGGGCATCCTTTATTTTTTGTCGAACATCCCCCTGTAGGAGGACACGCCCGACATAAGCTTACCAAGGGCTCCCAACTTCGCGCTTCGCGCTGCGCGAAGCGCGAAGCGCGAATAACTTCGCGCTCTCGCGCCGCCCCCCCAAAGGGAGAAAAGGAGGACGAGGAGGAGGGGGGAGAAGGAACGAGGACCGCGAAGCGCGAAGCGCGAATAACTTCGCGCCCTCGAGGGAGCCCTTGCTCACTCGCGAGGTTGCGCGGGCAGCCTACGCGCCCCTGTCGTCGGCGCAGACGGCACCGCTCTTGTGGGCCGCTCGGGCGGACCTCGGCGTGCCCGGGCCTCCCCGGCGCGGACTGCCCCCCCCCCCGCCGGGCACCTCGATGCCTCGTGCAGGGGCTGGGGCGCCGACGTCCTCTGCGGCGGTGGCCGGCGCCTTTCTCTCGATCCTGACTCGGGGAGACGTAAGACCCGGGTACGGGGGACTCGGAAATCCCCGACGAGGTCGTCAAAAAAATGACGAGGCCGAGCCTGCATTTTGACGAGGCCTCCCGCTGCAGACGTCCCACAAAACTCCTCCTCGTCAAAATCCGAGTCGCGGTCGTCAAAAAACGATGGCGAACCCGAGTCCCGGCAAACCCGGGTCTTACGCTCCCCCGACTGACGCCGCCACAAGCATCTCTCAGGAGAGCCCTGGATCGGATCGACGAGTCGGATCGGCGATCGAGATTGATCGGATCGGCGGACCTCGGCAGCCAGATTTGGGGGGAAGTCGAATCGGCAGAAATCAGAAGGCTAGAAAACCCTCCAGTGAGAGATCGGAGCCCAAATCGAAATCCCAAGTCGAATCGAATCGGAATCGGAGGCCATCGACAACACCGAATGGAATCGAATCGGCGGAATCGAACCGAGCCCGGTGAGGCGGCTGAATCGTGTGTGCAGTCAAATCACTACAGGGTACTTTTTAATACATGGGATGTTTCGAAAAAAATATAGAGTGTTCTGCTTGCGTGATCAATGTATGAATAAACTTATGCATGGATTCATCGTTGTTTCTAAAACTAACTCCCTGCATTTTGAATCCATGATCCGCACGCAGAGCACGTATCAAAAACGGCACTGTACCACAAGGAGCACTGGGTAAGGAACGAAGCCCCCTTGTTTACCAGCCTCGAACGTATCCCTATCCTCAACATTGACACGCCAAAGGCGATGACAATCTTAGGGACTCGCCCTCAAAAAACTAAGGGAATCCCTAAGATTGGCATCGTGATGAGGAGGTGCCCAGCATAGGGATAGGGATATGTCCCAGGCTGGTAACTTGTGGCCCAGGGAGCGCCCGGGTGCGCGAGGCGCGCTGCGGGGACAGCCACGGCGGAACCCCGGGAGCCGCGCTCCCCTTCCTGGGCATCGCTCGGACGTCCATTCCCTGCTTTTTTCGGTTTCGTGCGTGGTTTTTTCGCCAAATGATCAAGGATGCTCCTCGATGGTCCTCGCCGAAAGAAAACATACACACGTCCGAGCGATGCCAAGCTTCCGGGTCCCAGCGGATCCTCGGTGCAGCGTCCTGGCAGTACATCGGTGGCCACATGTGGACCCTACGGGGCAATGTTTGATACATGGGATTTTTGAAAAAAAATGGATTTTCAATACATGAGTAATGCATGAGTACATGTATGCACGAACGCATCGCTGTGTTTAACACCGAATCCATGCATGTGTAATACATGATCCGCACGCGGAGCAAGTCTTAAAAACGGCACTGTACCCCTACCCGCACGATTTCCAAGAGGGGGTGGGGGCTCTCTCCGCTCGGGACCTCCCGCACGAGATGACCCCTCCCCCTTAGGGGGGGGGGGGGGGCTCAGGGTTCGCATGCGGCCACCGCGCGTGGACGAGTGGAGATGGACGGTGCGGCGCCGCCGCCGCCTCCCGCGCGACCGCCCCGCAGGCAGGGGTGCAGCTCAGCAAGGCTTGACCCCACGGAGATGACGGCCAGCCGCTCTGCGCTGGCTCTGCGGCGCAGAGACGCTGGGGGCCCTGGGACACACAAATAAATACACACAGATAAAAATATTCCCGATAATTTCCCAACAACTTCTGGGTTTTTGTCGTCCCCCCCACTTCCCATATTTTCCAATATTTTCTGGGGAATCGACGATGAATTGTGTCTGTGTGTTTTTTCCCTCCTGAGAGACGCGGAGTCCAAGAAGAGGCCCCGGGTCACCTCATTAACCTCGCGCTTCGCGCGCCGCGATGCGTGGCTCTTATCAGGTCTCTCGCGCCGCCCCTCTCTCGAGAAGGATAACCGCCCTGGCCTGGACCGCGATACGCGAGGAAGAATCACAGACTCCGAGTTTCTTAACAAGCGTCGGGGGGGCGTCACCCCCGCCGACAGCCCCACACCGACCCCCGTCGCGGGCAGCCACCGCGCGCCGAAGGCGCTCCGACCCCCGTCGCGGCGCGACGGCAAGGCGAGGTTGACCCCCGTCTTGGGGTTACCCCCCCTGATTGAGGGGTACCCCCCTGATTGAGAAACCCAAAATAATCGAAACAATAACGAGGCGGATCTGCGACGTCCCGGGCGCCAGCGAGGACGGACGCACGTGTGCCCTCGCTTCGGCACACAGCTGCAAGAGCCGGCCTCTCGGCGGCGCCGCTGACCGAGCACTTCCGCAACAGGGGGAGCAAGACGGCGGAGCCTGCTCCTCCTCCTCCTCGTCCTCCTCCAGTTCCTCCCCCTCGTCCTCCCTCTCCTCCTCTTCCTCCTCCTCCTCCTCCTCCTCCTCCTCCTCCTCCAACTCCTCCTCCTCCTCCTGGAAGAGGCTGCATTGGACGAGCAAATGACACGAGCATGAACAGCTCGGAGGACCGCGCGGACTCCTCGGGTCGGCGCTGGGCCCCCCCCCCTCGTGGCGCGCGGAGCGCCGCGCCACTGGGGGCCCCAGCGCCGATCCGAGGGATCCGCGCGGAAACTTCGAGTTTTTTTTATGTGCGTGCCCTTGTTCGCTTTGCCAGCCTCGAACGTGTCCCTATCCCTAAAGATCGGCACGCCCAAAGGCGATGACAATCCTAGGGATTCGCCCCCCCCCCCCCCCCCCCCAAAAAAAAAGGGAATCCCTAAGATTGGCATCGTGATGAGGAGGTGCCCAGCATAGGGATAGGGATATGTCCCAGGCTGGTAACTTGTGGCCCAGGAAGCGCCCGGGTGCGCGAGGCGCGCTGCGGGGACAGCCACGGGGGAACCCCGGGAGCCGCGCTCCCCTTCCTGGGCATCGCTCGGACGCCCATTCCTTGCTTTTTTCGGTTTCGTGCGTGGTTTTTTTCGCCAAATGATCAAGGATGCTCCTCGATGGGGATAGGGATATGTTCCAGGCTGGTAATCGTTCCCCGTGTGCAGAGGAGGAGGGGCACGGAAAGCACGAGACCAGCTGGCGTGGCGGCCGCTTCGGCTCTTCCGGCGAGAGCCCCGGCGCGGCGCGGGCGCGCAGCGCGCGTGGCCCTAAGTCGGGCCCGTCCCCCTGCAGGGGGATCCTCGACGAAAGAATAAAACATGCACCAAAAATAATAAAAACCTAGTCCCATAATATTGTCTGGGGGCTACTTTTTGCGTACTTGTTGACCTTTTCGGGCAATTTGTGTTGGTGCTTTTCATTTTTCGTCGGAAATCCTCCTGTAGGGGGGCACGCCCGACATAAGCCCAGTCTCGAGTCGACAGGTCGGATCGGCGATCGAGATGGATCGGATCGGCGGAGATCGGCAGCCGAGTCGGGAGAAGCGGAATCGGCGGGAAACGGGAGGCTAGTAGGCCTCCAGAGGGAGCTCGGAGCTCGGAGCCCAAATCAGAATCCGGAGTCGAGGCAAAGAAGGCCGACAACAATAGAGGAAGAAACGAAGGATTGCAAAAAAAACAAAGGATTGCAAAAAAAACCGAAGGATTGCAAAAAAAAACCGAAGGATTGCACAAAAAAACCCGCTCCGCGCGGACTTCGTGGATCTGCGCTGGACCCCCTCTCCCTGGCGCCAGGGGAGCGCGCCGGGGGCGGCGCCAGGGGGGGCCAGCGCGAATCCAAGAAATCCGCGCGGAGCGCCAAGAGTTTGTGTTTGCAGTGTTCGGTCTGCCCGAAGGAACGATCAGTAAGGAACGACGCCCATTTCTTCCGAGGATGTCTAGGAAGTCCGAGGGAACACCAGGGGGAGGAGGAGGAGGAGGAGGAGGAGGAGGAGGAGGAGGAGGAGGAGGCGGAGGAGGAGGAGGGGGCTCGCCGCCAAAGAGGTAGCGGAGCGCTTGCAAACCACGGGAGCGACCGAGCCCCCTTTTGGAAAAGTAGGTGCTCCTTGTTCAAGCTGGACCCTG